GATGCACATAGAGGATGAGGCGAAATTAGACAGTTTGTCCTTATTTCTCGAACATACAATATTTTTTTTTGATTTACAGCTTGATTCCACACCGTATTTTCAGTACAAGTGTGGAATTTTCAGCATGGATATCGGTAGCCCAAATTTCGCAGGCCGACCATAGATATCGGGTGTGCGCCGGCAGGGGATCGAACCCCGGACCATGTGCATGGTCGGCGAGAGTCCTAACCACTGTGCCACTGACGCACTGGTGAAGAGAGAAAGTGCCTCTTCTGCTGTATTGGAAGCTCTTTTAAATTCACTCTTCAGGTGCTCTTTGTGTTACTATTTCACTAATGTTATATTACCGAGGAACTGCAGTTGACAATCTTAAGACCACTCTAACTGAGTGAACGATTCATTTGAGCAGATTATTCTAGCTCTATGAACCAGACACTTTACCATGTTGTGTTTATATATTTCTGAGATGTAAAACTCAACAAATCACAGTACTGTCTTATCGCTGTTATAGTTTTCTCCTATAAACACATTCCTTCTTATTGCCCCCTCGGCTTTCGTGGTCAGGAAGACGCTTAGGAATGAGATGCTATCATCACTTTCTTTCTCTATGGTGAAGTTTATTTCTGAATATGCATTACTGAACTTGTCGGGAACGTTGGCTGCTTCATTCTCGTTTTTAATAATCAGAAATCCAGATCTTCTTTAATATTTTTATCTGTCCGACATATTCCCGTCTTCTCGCTCCATGTGCACAGTCTCCAGAATAATCCAGTCCACTACAATTAAGAATATCATCGTGGGTAATAATAGGCAGCCTCGTCTTACTCTTGCATTCACTTCAAACGCCTCGCTGGGTTTTCTATTGTGGATCACCTGGCATATGACATTGCCGAATTGAAGTAAATATTTGTGTAGTATAGTTGTTTTAATTTTTCTTTATTTCTCTTAGCTGCTTCGATGTTCTTTTGACAGCTTATTACGCAAGCTGGATTTTTCTGTTCGCGTAATCGAGGCAGAAATTTAAAACAGTTAATTTGAAATAGTCTTCATTTTGTTACATGCGATTGGAACCAGATCATTCATCTAACTAATTAGGTTCTCTGGTGCTCATTTAACTCGTTCACTTTTGACGTTGCTACACAAAACTTACTACGAAGTGACGAGATTTGCATTTTCCAATTGGCAATAGTGCGTGATTTGAAACAATTAGTTCCCTTTATGAATTTCGATAAAACAGTAAGAATATGTAGTATATCTGAAAGGTGTAATGTAGTGTAATTGCGCAACACATTTCAAACATTCAGGTCACACCCATGAGTAGTTGTCATAGTCATTCATGATGAAGGCAAGAGGTGGCATGACTTATAACGATACAGGTTAAGGTCAAAAATAAGGAACGGGAATTTTATGTTAGGGTGTGTATTATCATATTTTGTTTTTTGTTTCCTTTCCTTATTTTCCACAGACAGACAGGTTAAATCAGCGTTATGTTTACCAGAATTACGGGATGTAGTATACAGCAGATAGTATTAGGAGGTTCACTATACAGCTACTTATTAGGCAATGTATTTTGAAATAAATCGATTATTTATAACTACTATCTTCTCATTGTTATTCTTTCTTTTGTTTTGAATTTATACTACTTGCTACAGGCAAGTAGTGTGTTTGATATATTTGGTAATTCCTACCAATGCTTTCGAAGTTTAACTCATATTAAGGATCACTAATTAATTTGATGGACAGTGTATATATGTATATATATATATTTTATATAGCATACAATTTCTCTTATTCAGTTTGTTTAAATCAAGGAAAATATGACCTCTAATAGTGTTATTTACTCTTGCGAGTATTTTAAACACTCACAACCCGCTGATACACCAGTTTCTATGAAACATATGATGACCGTTCCTTAGTGGTGTCTTTGGTCCGCAAAAGGTACTCCTGAACCCTTTATATAATCGGTATGCAACAGAATGTCGTCGTGTATTTCTCGAAGGAGACAGAGATGAGATATCATAATGATGGATTGGTTTTCGCTTCAGGCGAGATAGTTAGAAGTGTGTCACACGATCTACTGTCAGTCAGTTATTATTTTCATATTTGAAGATAGTGGATGAAGGGGATATATCCTGTGATAAACTCTGGTGAAAATTCTGTACACTAACTTTATAAATATTGTCCCGATTAAAGATATTGTTATTAAAAATATTTAAAAATTATCTGCTGTGTACGCTTGATTTATGTACCTGTTGCTGTTGAATATTGTTAATTCGCGTCTTTTTATCCTGTGTCTGGTATTCGTGAGCTGTTTAAATAACTCATGGTCACCTTTGATACAACTGTGCTGTTATTTTTCATTGACTCGCAGTGACTGTGCTTTTTGACTACATTCAGCTACAGACAGCTCACACTTGAACTTTGTATATCGTATTTCATTACTATATGTTTAATATAGTACCGTACTGTTTTTGGATTTTAAGCGTCACTCAGCGTGTTGTTTTTTATGATCGTTTGGATCATCGTCCCGAAATTATTTTGGGAGAAATTCACTGTATATAATTTATTTCGATGAAATGTGTATTTAGTCCTTTGTTTGCGTGGTGCTAGTTGAATTCTACCAGTTAGGTTTACAATGTGACCATAAACAGGTTACGTGGCTCGCCATCACAAGGCACTGCGCTGTGAATTGTTGCTATTATTAGATATTTTGGGGACAGTCGGCAGGACCATTCTTCAGAAAGGTGTATCTGCAATCTGGGAGGAAGGGACTCATGTCCATCCTGAGGCTCAAACCCTCGTCGCTCCCTGGGTGAGTGATGCAGTCAGAGACATTATCTCCAATGAACTATGCGGTGTCCTGACTCACTGCTTTGGATACTTATTTGGACACTAGATAGTAATAATATAAGATAATAGAAATCTAAGCATTTTTATACTTTGATACATTCAAAATGACTTTAGGTTCTAGTAAAATGAAAGGGCTTTCTACGTCTTATTATTATCGTCACTATTATTATTATTGTTCTCTTGGGTTCCCAGTGGAACAAACGGCTTCGAAAGCATACCTGCAATGGGCTGTATTTTCTGCTGACCTCTCTGGCTAGCCACACGATCTCCCATAAACTCTTATCTTCTTCAGCTCAGACAATCTCCTCCAGGCGATTCACTCGATGTCATTCGCCAGTCTTCTCAGCTTGTGCCCAATCCATCCTCATTTTCTCTCGAATATTTGTCGAGTGATCGGTTCTGGGTTAGTTGGTCCCACAGAGTTTCTTGCTGCTAATTCTTTACGGCCAGCCAGCTATTCGATCTTTAATAAAGAGCCAGCTAGCGAGGTAAGCATCTGTTGATATAAGTCTGCAGTGGCCTGTTAGAAATGCTTTTCGTGACGTACACGCCATATGTATGCATATATAAATTTTTGTTTAAACATGAACTCTCTGGATAAGTATTTTAATACTGTTTCTGTACATAAACTGAATAATATGTTTAGGCTGTAAGCAGGTGATGATGAGAAGCCAAAGAAATAAATATTGATGCTAACATTTTATTCGGCACAAACCACCACTGTTGTTCTTGCTGTTTATTCAAATTCATGAATGTTTCTCCAATTCTATTTTTTTTCTTGTCGAATTATTCTCTCCTCTGTTTGATAATGTATATGACAGCAAATCCCAGCTAAGTTAAACTTTAAGCATCAGTAAGTACCAAAGAACAAATGATCTTGAATGCACCAACCACATGATAAAGGCGATTTTCGTGTTTAAAATACGTATATTCATGAAAATTAGTTAAAAAGCATGAAACTGTTACATAGCATACCTTTCTCTGAAGTGTGACAAGAATACCTCTCAATTTTGGATTGAAAAATCAAAAGGGTAATTTAACGATATTCTATGCATGCAATTATCTACGTCTTCTAACCCTAACAATAACCTTAATCTCTCCTTAACCTAACCCTAAGCTGTCCTTAGCCTAAATCGCAACTTAATCCTTCCCAAACGTAACCTGAAACTTACCAGATATCCCATTTAATTGCATAATACTTTATTAATCATATTTTATTCATGATGGCAGCATTGTTTGTCAGGGATCACTAACTTGCTCATTGAGCGTTTCGAGGTCATTGGTGAGATCGCAGTCCATTGGTATTTACTGGTGCCCAAAGTTTAACTTGGCCCAAATTCCTTTTTATATACTCCTTATTTCTCTAAAATACTACGTTTAGGTTACATTGCTGTTGTTCTCACCTACCCCATTCCTGTGACCTTGGAACCCTATTGGTCGCTGTTTGTTTTAACTCATGAATGCTGTAATTATTGCCTCTCAAAGTCCTTTAAAGCATATGTATGTATACGCAATTGCTGTCAGTCCCTTTTCACTATTGATTCGAGATATTAAAAATCTCTCTACGTCAACAGTCTGTTTTCTTGACTTCTTGTGTCATGGATTCGGTGGCATTGTATCGTGTCAGTGTTGTTGTTGCTAATAGTGATTAGGAAAGTAGGCTCTTGAATCGACTAGATATAGGAAATTTATAAGCGCAAACTACCAAGTGCATTCACAGCGATATCACTGCTCTTTTCACGCTTCTCATGAGTGTAAGCGAGATAGATTCGGTTCATTAATCAAATACTCACCCTAGGGCAGTTGGGAAAACTATGCTACTAGAGGAAGAAGAAATGAAAAGTTTTATATTCAGAGAATAAAAATTATCTCTACTCGTTAATAAATAACAAAATACTGACAATGCTAAAGATAACCAAAAGGAAATAAAAGAAGACAAACTTAGTTTTTATAACCAAAAAGTACAACTCACAATACTGCATCAAATAAAGTTGTAGACATGTAGACACAAATTAAAAAAACTGAATGAATAAATGAAAAGCACCTCATTTGATAGCTTTCTTTCCCTGTCTGTATATTATCATCGTCCAAAAACAATGTGACGCATTCATGAATAGTGGCATTATTATATTCTCAACATCATCTTTGCACTATAACCTTCTATTATCTTCAGCAGTTCTGTGCAATGATCTGCCTTTCACATTACTACTACCACGAGGCTGTGTTTGAAATAATTTTGTCCCATGTGGATTTTTCATCTGGTATCTTTGACCTTTCATCATATAACGCAATTCACTTTCAATCGTGTCTTCCCCACCGTCAGTACAATTTTTCTGTCTGCCTTTTGTGTGATAATGTTTGTCGCCTTCATCATCCCCATCATCATCGTTATTATTGATGCTGTCGCGACGATTATCATCATCAATATATCTGAATAGACCTGCTTTAGCAGGTGTATATTGGGTTTTGACATCCGTTGACGCCTGCATAGATGTAAGACTAGTATCGATACATTTCAATGCCGCTCGCGACGATGAAGACATCGATAATGGTGATTTTTGTGCCGCTTGGGTCAGTTTGTCCGTGTTTTTATGAAATTCACCAAACTCAGTAATATTATTTACTTTTTCTACAATATCTTCGCCAGTCTTTTCGGGGGTATTTAAGTTTTCCTCTTGGAGAGGCTGAGAATCAGTGAGCATATTTTTACACTGTATTGTATCAGGAATGATGTTTACATGCTGTCTATTCTGCTTCTTTATTTTAAATGCATGGGATAAAAAGTGGAGCAACTTTGTCATTGTTTGCTTTCTGTTCCCTTTTTGGATTCTGCACAGACAAACAGGTCAAACAGGAGTTACTGTTTATCAGAATTACGGGATGTAGAATGTAGTAGGTAGTATTAGACGGTTCACTATACAGCTAATAAATAGGCAATGCATTTTGAAATAAATCGATTATTTAAAACCTTGATATATATAAATATATATGTGCTAAATGGCTGATAAATCTGCTTGAGCTGCTACATCGGGAGTTTATGAAATAAAATGTAAAAGATATCTTTACTTCGGTTGACAACATTAAATATATAAACTTACTAGACAAAAATTTGTTATCGTTGGATGTAACGTCACTATTTACCGATGTTTCCCTGGGTAAAACAGTGGATTATCTATGCCAGCGAGTTGTAGATAGAAAAACAGATACTGGGATTCCTACTATGAAAGCTCATTATGTATTTAACAAGACGTTTTACTGTCATATAGATGGGGCTGCAATGGTTTCTTCCCCTAGGTCACTTGTTAGCTGGTATTTTGTTAATTGAATCAGAAAACGGACTTCTAAGAGTGATCTTTAGAATAAATTGAAAAACTCTGTAGTTCCACGAGTTAGCCTTTCTTCCTATCAATGGGAATCTCTCCTTCCTTACTTACTTTTCGCAGTAGTGGCGTCAGCATGTCTACTGCGGTCTCTGCGTCCATTTCCAGTGCTTCAGGGGGAATTCAGTCTGGTTTAGCTGCCCTCTCACCTGGCTTTCACTAGATTGAATGCTTACATTCAAGATTTCTGCTTTCGTTGGAGGATGGGTGTCCACTGACAGGCAGTTGTGTGCCTGCTGTTGCAGGTGGTGGTCGATTCAAGAGTCCTTTGAAGCGATCAGACCATTTTTTCATTTCTCTTTGTTTCTCCCCTCTGGTAATTAGGTTCCCTTGACCATCTTTCATAGCTTTCATCTGTGTTGATTTATTCCCGGATAGAACCCTCGCTGTCTGACACGGCGTTTTGAGGTCTGTTTCAGCTGCGTACTGCCTGTTCTGCTTCACTTTCCAGTGTGTCATGGAATTGTCTTTTGTCTTTCCTAGCACTCTCACTCACTTCTTTCTTTCTTCAGTGATATGTTTCTCTTACTCTTGGCCATCTTTGCATTCGTTTACCTTCTCGTTCACTATCCTCCTCTTCTCAATTAGCTTCCAGGTGTCAGGTGAAAGACAATCTTTGACTTGTCTCTTCTTTCTTCCTAAGACGGTTGTGCGTGTTTCCTCGATCATCACGTTCAGACAGTTCTAAGGTTCTTCCACATATGTTTCCGAAGTGAAGCCATATAGTGTCTCCGTCTTCGCTCTGACAGGTGTAGTGAAAGTGTCACCTGTAATTTCATCCGGCAGTTTCTGAATGTTAGACTTGAATTGCTGTTGCCTGTCTCCAGTTGTTTCGGGGGATTTCAGTCTCACCTTGGTGGTTACTTAAACTTAATGGTGGTCTCAGTTTACCCACATCTGCTTCCTTTCTCCACTTTGTGTCCAGCAGGTTGGCTGCGTCTCCACTTCCTTGGGATTCAGATTAAATCTGTCTGGTTTGCGGTGTGTCCATCAGGAGAAATCTGTGTTGCTTTTTGTATATCCTTGTGCTTGTACACCCTGCCTTCGATCGCCGAATCTCTGAAGGTGCAGAAGTCTGTGAAGAGTTCTCCTTTCTCATTCATTCCTGCGAGCCACAGCCTCTCGACCCATGATGGCTCCTCTTCCTTTGGTGTTGTCTGCTCTCATTTCGGGAGGCATCCATATCACCCATGAGGATTTTGATGTCACTATGTGGGATGTTGTCCATTGCTGTCTGAGGTTGGTTATAGAAATCTTCCTTCTTCTCTTTTGCCGCGTTATTATCATAATTAATCATTTTGAATAATGGCATCGAGTCTACTCGGTGTCCTGTATCTCTCAGGTGTTTGTTAATTGAAGATCTTAAACTGCTTGGTCCCTTTAACCGAATGTTTTGCCTATCAGAACCTCTAAATTTTTAGATATCTGTTTCTGAAAGCATAAGATAGCATTGGGTAGTTATAATTATTTTATTCATTAAGATTTTGCATGAAGGAATCTTCACAGGTATTTGCAGCACACCATTATTTCACTCTTTTCTATGAAGTCTTCTTAACTGACTTGATAATTACGCATAGGCATTCAGCTCCTCCTCACATGATCTCCTCCACGTTACCCTGGGATGCTCAATACATCCTTTCAGTTCACGTTTCACACTTGAGTGCCTGGCGCGAGATACGATTCAACGGTCTCCACAGTGTATGTCTAATTGGAGACGTTTATTTCCCCATACGAATTAAAAAAACAGCAGAAAGTTCTGTTAATAAAGCAGGATTTAGTGAATCCACCAAACTTCGGTCGAACGGGTGCTCTGCACACAGAAATGCATTTATATACTATTAGAATTACACTGAGAGATACAAGACTGATAAGAAAATAAAATACATCCAATAAATCATACTAACCAACAGGTGTGACTGTTTCTCAGGTCTTATTCACACAGATAAGGAGAAGGGATTATGAAAGAATGAAATTAAGATAAAAAGGCATAGTACGGTTCAGTTGCAGCACTTAAATAAACAATTAGTGAGTTATCAGTGAGTGTAAGAACTTGAATATATCAAGAATTAATAACTGAACAATATTGACAGTAACAGTAATGGTAATAGTAGTAACAATAATAATAGTGTTAAAACGACTTAAGGTAATCGTAATGATAAAAGATAGATTTAAATGAATCGGAAACAATAATAATAACAGGTAGAATAAAATATTAATAGTAATAACACTTAAAAAGCAAAACATATTAGCATGGTAGATTCATAGTGACCACTATTTCCGTTTGTACACAGAGACCTGGTTTATCAGCCCTAGTTGCACAAGCCTCCTTCCCGATTACAAGCATTTTCCTGTTTGATCGTTTGTGTGCTAACAACAGTAAATGACTTGACAGTTTCAACATCATGTTCGTAGTACACTAAATTATTTGTTATTGAACTTTCTGGCATTTTGACTTCATCTGTTTCCAACCACTTTGGCAAGTACTGCATCATGCGAGTAGACAATCACCTTTCTCTACCACCATCTGCGTATTTGCCTCCACAAACACACTCATCAAATTGATATAGGCAGTTTAAAGTATCGAGGATTGGCGAATGGTCTTTTCCAGATAGCTGAAGCACCCGCTTGGTGTTATTAACGAAGACGAGTAGTAAGTCCTCTTGGTAGTTTTATTGAGTCTTCGTTTGACTACTTCTTGTACGTCTTCTCCTTTAAGTGGCAAATTGATGCAGACGGCAAACTTTCATTGAAAGTGTTTAAATAGTTTCACTGCGGCTCATTTTTTCAAAGAATTTATTGATGAACTTCTCAGGATATCCACTCTTTGATAAATTGTCCTTCAGAGTCATAATTTAATCTTCAATTGTACTGTCAGGACAGAAATTTCGTGCTATATTGAACAGTGTTCTGATTAAGTACTTTCTGTACAAGATTGGAACAAAACTTTTAAAATGTCCGATGCATGAAGACTTTCAAAATATGGACGTTTTGATTGTGCCATCAGTACTTTTCATTAGAGAAACGTCTAGGAATTTCATAGTATCCTATTCCTCGTGTTCTATTGCAAGGTTAAGATTCGGATGGCATTAGTTGAATTTCATCAACAGGTCTTCAGCTTTTGATCTACTTTCACAGACAATAAAAATATCACCAACATAATATCATAGGTATAATTCCCTTTGTCGTATATGTCGCTGCAAAATACCGATTTCTAGGCCTGATAAGAATAAATCTATCGAAAAGGGTGGTCCTAAGGATTTTTATTATTGCAGCATCATCAACTTGACGGAGTAGACGTCCACTGAATTAAACATTTTGAGTAAATAAAAGCAACAGTTTCCTCAGTCCCGATGTTGGAATACGGATGTCGTCAGCTTCTGCACAGTTATTCTTCCTTTAGAACAAGAGCGTATTCTGTTTTCTTTGTTGATTCATATAGTAGTGGCATCGAGCACTCAAAATGAATTTGTTATATTATTTTAAAAGATACATATATACAAGTATTGGATAATATATAGTGTCACATCACTTAGTTTCTTCCAAAGGACTGCGTTATACAAGTATATGAAGTATTACTACTTCTTTTTTGATTGGACACTAGTTTGTAACTAGTGCAGTGTCTGGTCCCATCTTTGGTGATGAGTGAACTCCATCAGACAAGTTTGCAATGTGGCCAACGTGCCACAAGATGGCAGGCGGTCATGACGCACTGCACTGTGAATCGTTGATGTATTATATGGTTGGAGGCGATCGGCGGCACAGGAAGCCTTGCTCGACCTAGGTTTCGTGCTACTTGCAACTCGTCAGCAAGGCGTATCTGAAGGACTGGACACATTACACAGTTTACTGACTAGTCCTACAGGAGGTAAATCGTGAGCCTGAATGGCTGTGGTAACGTCTCTGACCGCAGCACTGGGTTCGAATCTCAGAAGGGACATGAGTTCCCTCAAGGTTGCAGATACGCACTGGTGACGAGTGCCAACTAGCACGAAATCTGGGTCCAAGGCTTTCTGCCGACTACCTTCAGTCATCTAATACCAACAGTACTGTTACTTCCAGGCTACTAACACCATGGAAGTCAGTTTCTTAATGGAGTACCTGAAATATAAGCAGCATTAGTGTTGCGTGACAGCATAGCCCAGAGGACAGTTAGTTGAGCTGGTCACACATGGCCTTTTTGAAGTGGATTTTACAGTTGTGTCTATACAGAAATCTTACCGCCAGTTACTGACCTCCACAAGGAAAGTCAGGATACACAATCTCCGTGGTTGGACATTTCTGAACCACTCCCCAGAGAGAACAGGCAGTGTAGTTGGCATGTT